TAAAGGTAATTTGACTGTTGTCCATTATATTTATCTCTCACAATGTTATCCTAACGTAATAACAATATGAATAAAAAATATAATAATTTGTTGGAACAGCAAATTTGTCTTTTCCTTGGTTTACCCAACATAAGGTTGTCAAAATCAAGCTGCATAACTGACCTACTTTCTGCATCTCCGACATTTTTTAAAATAAAAATATTTTAATGACCTGTAAAATGTGATAACTTTGATCTTGTGATCTTGTTGTTGTAGTGTTGACAATTTTTGGCAAAATATTGCATCTATTTTTGATATTCCTTGCATGAGTGTCTGCTGCATCCCCTTTTTACCACCATTCATGGATGTTCCCAAGTCAAAACTCAATGCATAGAATGGTACCTGTGTGGTGCATGATGTGTCACGTGATGTCCAATCCACTTATACAGATCAATACTCTCATTGATTAGAATGGGTGTGTGTTTGCTGTGGAGGTCGGACCGCAGCGCAGCGCAGCACAACGCAGCGCAGCACAACGCAGCACAGCCACATCTAGTGTAAATTAGGGGTCAGATGGAGGTTCAGAACCTGATGAATCAGTCAGAAAAGGTGTTACACTGAGCTCTTCTCTCTAATCAAAGGAGTTTGCTTCAGTCTAAAAACGGGTACAGGAACTCTTAATATTCCAGCATCGTTCTTCTTCCTGTGGTTGATAGTTAGGCCAGCTGTGGTTGATAGTTAGGCCAGCTGTGGTTGATAGTTAGGCCAGCTGTCCCAGGAGGCCCTGCAGAGCTTGAGGAGAGAGCCACAGCATCTCCAGCAGGTTGTATTGGCAGTATCCCATCCAGAATCCAAACAGAACATCGGTAACATTATGTCTTCCCAGCAGCACTCGGCTAAGCCCCACCAGGCCCACCCACAGTACGACCAGGACCCTCACAGGGGGGGCCAGCACGAGGTGAGCCAGCAGGAAGCGCCCACACATGGCGGCGCGGGTGGCATGACCAGAAGGGAAGGAGTAGCGGTCCACAGAGAACGTGGCGAACATGTCCATCTGGTTATGAGCCGGGCGACGTCGACGCACCACGGCCTTCACAGAACCGACCAGGATCAGGTCCAGCAGCAGACCTGCAGGACAGGAAGAGGAATGAAGTGGATTAAAACACAGTCATGTAGGTGCATTAAAGCTGAATTACCTTTCACAATAGAATTTAATCCAGCTTTATTTATATACAACTTCAGAGCAAAATGTCAAACATTATATAAAAAACTAAAAGACATACACAATAAAAGCCRCAACAACAGTCACATGATGCAAAAATAAACAACACAAAGTTATAAAACTACATGATGAGAGAAAATGAGAAGTAAGGGGTTTGGCATTGGCCCCCTGAAGTGCCCCTGTCCTGTCACTCACCTGTCTTTTACCTGGGGGGTGATGATGGTGGATGCAGTTCTGTGTTCAAACACTAGTGGTGCTAATGAGTCAAATAGTAAAGTCCAGAATGAATCAAGCTGACAGAATTCTTCTTCTCTTCTTAAAATGTCAACAATCCTGCAAAAAAGTATTTCAGCTGACAAATGACGGCTGGATTTTCTCACATGT